ATATATATATATATATATATATATATATATATATATATGTGTGTGTGTGTGTGTGTGTGTGTATGTATGTTCTGGAACTTTGATATTACTGATTTCACACATGATCTAATGTGGATATAATTTAATCACCCTGCCTACATTTTCAAGAAAAATTATTTCTCAGTTTCTGAAACTCCGCATTTTTAAAAACTGCTTCATTGTGTACGGAATGAACCCCCTCTTCCTCCGCTTGTTTACCGGTGCAGGACAGAACATGACAGCAATTACTTTGCACGGTCCCTTATAATTTTTTAAACTACCATACTAATAACACTGGTTACGATCAACTGAATGCGCTCAATACATTAATTCAATAGCGTCGTAGTATCAATAGCACGATGTTGAAATGCGTCAACCTCCATTTACTAGGCCTGCTTTCAACATAATGACTTTTCAATTTTTTTTTCGTAACACGAACCAAGACATGACATGTCCAATAAACAACAGCGCAAAACACCTGCACCAGCAAGTTTTATACGTATAATTTTCGAAATTAAATCAATATGCTAGTTTTTTTAAAAAAAGGATTGGTTTTTGTAAAGTTACAGAAAAATTACAGAAAAAGTTGGAGAAGTTATACAGCGGTACTTCGCGATACGAGTTTAATTCGTTTCGTAACATTGCTCGTATGTCAAATTGCTCGTGCCTCAAATAATTTTCTCCTGACTTGCTTTAATAACTACGTAAATTTCTTTTGAGGTTGTAGAAGTTTAGATAAATACATTTTCCATTTCCTGCAATATAGAGTAAATTGTACAGATAGAAAATTTATATGTAATTGGCATACGTTACTAAACATGCTATTTCCAAGTCAAGCATATATTCATACAAACAGACAGCAAACATTCGTAAAGTATGGTAATTAGATTTAAGAACGTAGCTGGAGAGAAGATGGGATGTTTGAGATGTATTTTATGAACACTGAAGTATTGTCATTAATATGAAAATCTCTCATGTGTATTCGGAGAGATAGAAAACAAGTAATGTAACATGGTGGCACTAGTTTAGTGTACTCTAGGCCTTCCATTAACCTTTGGGCAACTGTGCGTTTAGGGGTAATTCATAAATAACATCATGCTTGTTTTACGATTCTTATCTCCCCCACCCCACTACCAAAGTGACGTCAAACAGCAGCCAACATGTAGTCGTCTATAAAAAACCGATTTCTGTTGAAAATGGTGCTGACCACACAATCCTTTCCAGAGTTTCTTCCAGGCATCTCTTCGTGGGGGCTAAGCCCCCCCAGAAAATTTTTACCCCCCCCCCCCCCCCCGAACGAAATGAAATTTATATAATTTATATAGAAAATATATACTTTTAACAGTGTCCGCCCCCCCCCCCCCCGAAGAAAGTCTGCCGCCCCCCCCCTCCGAAAATTTCAAGTGCCCCCCCCCCCCCCGTAGAAAAAAGTCTGGAAGAAACACTTATCCTTTCATAAGTTGAGGTCACAGAAATATATGAAATATATTTCACCTGCCTCGTGTCCCGCCAGGCCCGAAAGGCAAAATTACAATACAATTTTTTTAAAAGAAGTCATACCTTAAATTACATGCTTTTGTCTGTTTTTCCGATAATATTTTTCAGCTCGAACCTCATGTCAATAAGAAATGTAAAAATCCTCAAAGCTAATGTCAAAAATATAATAATTAGAAACATTCGCGTGCGTTGTGATTTCCTACTGTGCACAAAAAACTTAACACTGACGGGATGTGTTTCAAAAACATGCCACAGAACAGGGAAGCTAACGCTATGTCATCTCTGTCAGCAAGGCGATACAATTTTGAGGGGAGGCCACGTCACAATATAGTACAATTAGTCCAAATACTATTTTTAGCTAGACTACCCGTTATCCTCGGATAACTGTGGGTTTCGGGGTCATTCAAAAATTACGTCACGCTTGGCGATTTTTATCTCACCCCTCCCATTTCCCCACTGTTTAACACGGTTACAAAAACTTTTTAAAAAATCTATAAAGAAATCACACCTCAGCCTGCTTTTGTCTTTTAAAAACACTGAAATAGTTTAGTTAAGAAATTAAATATTGACTGCATGGCTTTCGGACCCGCTTTTCTAAAAAGAAAAGTGTGTAACATACTGTCCACATAGCCAGGCTGTAAATAAATTTGTCTATACCATTTGGGGAAAAAATAATATTAATAAAAATTTAAAAAATAAATAAATATACAAACTTTTAAAACCAAAACACATGTACTTCAACAAAACACCATATTAAATGCCCAAACAGATTGTTATCCTAAATCAGTAAGTTAAAAATCCCATTATTTTTTGGTTTATGATTTTTTTTGGCCTAGAAAGAATTTTTTGTTGTTTTTCATCAGTAAATAATATAAGTAAATTTCCCTTTCAAACCTGACGGTCCACGGGGCAAGAAGAAGAGTTCACTATACGCATGCGCGTTGCGTTATATAAGTGACGCGTCTCTTCTTGTGCAGCCACTTCGAGACAGCATTTAGTCGATATCAGAGGTTGGTGACGGGTGTTTTTTTATCCAGCTTTTGGAGCGTACTTTGACAGTAGGTACTATTGAATTTTGTATACCTATAAGCCTGTTTTTAAAGATAAAAATTTGTTTATAACGTTTACTTGGTTTCACAATTTTACCAAAACGTTAGTGTTATGTTTTACCGACGAATTGCGTCTTAAACAAAAAAATTAATATTAATCAAAATAGTTTTATATAAAATGGAATAACTGTGTTAAAGTAAGATAATAAGCTAATCAACACATGCATCATCTTTAAAAAAAATTAAGTTAACTGCGAAACAAAAATTAAATTTAATCAAAAGTAATTTGTTGTTATAATTCATTTTTTTAAAAAATACAAATATATTATATTGATGATTATTTTCATTGGGCTCTATTTGAGAAAAAAAAGTACTTAATTGTTATACAAAATTGTATTGACATATAAAATAGTTTTCTATAATTTGCATACACACTCTTATAGTGTACATGATGACAAATCATTTCAAAATTCGAGCATTATTTAAGTATAAAAAATTAAGGTTTTTGTGACTTTTAAGTCGCCACCCCCCTCATCTACCTTCCATGAATAAAACTGATCCCTAATCATCCAGGTTGGGGGTCGTCCATAGATGATGTCACACTCTAGGTAGGGAGGGGGTTCGGGCTTTTGTGACGGTGTGTGACAAGTGGGAGGGGGGTTGAGACAGGTGACGTCTCACTGTTTTATTACTAACCAATTGTTTTACATACATTGTTACTCTGGTTTTTTTTTTTTAAATGTATTACAATTTTCATTTTTTTTTTTTTTTAAATTTTGTTTCGATACATCTAACAACATGTACAATTTATGACATCAATTTAACTTTGCTCTAGTTAACTTGTCCTGTCGTTTTATAATAAAACTTTAAATTTGACTCTTAATATTTTATTCAAAAACAATTTATGGAATATCTTTTCACAAATAGGATTGCGAGTCTTCCCATTGATAATGTAGTGAATTAGTTAGAAATGAGTCACTTGCGCTTAGTATGGCTAGAAGTAAAATTTGTATCTTAATAAATACTTTTTAGTGTAGCTTGAAAATTGGATGGACTATTTTGGCCCAGCTAGATCTTTAATTATAAAATCTCAATGATAGCTATGACTAAGCGATATCATGAAAATCCACTTAAATGAGGTGTATGTTATGATAATTTCTTATTATTTGCATTTTTTTTTTGTATTATTGTTTAACAACCAATTATTGATGTTTTAAATAATTTACATAACTGTAAAAGGAATTGCATATAGTTTGTATGATAAGATTATTAGAATTTCAGGAGATCACGGTAAGTTTTTATATAGAGTTATTTTGTGATAATTTAGCCCAAAACCAGGGGAAATATTCACGTGTATGCGCTAGAATTCGCTCCGAGAGCATGGTGTCATCACAGACGCTCGGGGGTGGGGTATATAAACCGGCCGCTTAGCCTTAGAGGGGATGGAGAAACGACGGCCCTAGCCAGTAATTTATGCAGCACAAGTATTGGCGCTATGTCTCCTTTAGATGCGCGCTACACAGACAATTCCCGGTCAAGAAAGATACTGTACTTTTAACAGAGCCAAATACAGATTTTAGACGACCTATTCTTCATTTTAAATCATCTGTGACTGAGAGCAAGAAAATGTACAAGAAAAACATTACAATAACATGCATTGCTTCCCTTACATCAGTGTCGGAACACGAAAAAACGGCCCCTTCCCAAAGCAAGAAGGGCTTTTTTTTATATATTAGGAATTAAAACAGCTTTACTCTGGTGTGTATGTGTGTACGTGTGCGTGAGTCTGTGCACGCGTGTGTGGTGCGTGCGCATGCGTGCGTGTGCTACTAAATTGAATTTATCTAGATTTGAAATGTGCTAAATCTTTATTTACATTTTTGGCTAATTTTATCACAAACATATAGACAGTTTATGTATCTAGTTATTACTAATGTGGTGAAGATATTTTTTTGAAAGCGACATATCAAGCGCTGGATCAAAATAATTCATTGTAAAACGGCCCATCTTGAAAAACGTCAACATATAGACCTAATCAAAAAGGGCTTTGGTTTAATAAACATAGCACCTGCTATGTGCCTTTATGTATAATACTGCCCGCAACATAATGACTTCAGTTAGTTGGACTTCCGAAACTGCTATCGCCAAGTTACTCATGTTTTTCTTCACTTTAATTGCCTGTGGTGGACTCAACATTAAATAAGCGCTTGCAGGATCCTTTCGTTGTACCATGGGTAGGTATATTATACAGCGAAGCAAACAGCAGTGAAAATGCTTAATTTAAAATATTTTATGTGGGTAAATGTTGGTAGTCTTGCAGACCTGCTAACCCATGTGAAAATAGAAATAGGCCAGTATTATGTCATGCATCACGGTAGGGTTTTAGGTGCTTTGATCACATGACTTGTGCTTAGGTATATATGCTTTAAACTCGTAAATAAAACAATTGCATATGAGTGCAGCAGAAGCTGAGCATTGGCGGGGCCTTTTGTTTCCATGGGCATTAATAAAAAGATACATATTTAGTCGGAGTTTTTACCATATCGTACAATACACGTTAATACAATTGGTTTCTTTATAAGTGACCTAGCTTATCTACTCACCAATCCAGTGCAACTCCTTGTTTTAGTCTGCGAAAATGCGTCCCCCGCCCTATCTAGGAAAAGTTCGAATGCGGTTCTTCCCGGTCATTGTTTCCTAAGGGAAGGCTTATCTGTTTTAGAGTTACACAATCAATGTAGAAAACAGTTAATTCAGTATTTTAAGGCTTGTAGCCATAACATTTCTTAACTTTGTTTATAATTCAAAACTGCAGCTTAAAATGAGGTTTTAATTTTTTTTCTACCCCTTTTGGCGCCCCCCTTGGGTCGGCGCCTGGGTCGGCATCCCCCACTCTTACAATGCCTCCGTGGGTTGTGTTGTTTTGATAAGGTAAGAACTAGGATAGGGGCGGGGTAGGATGGATGGTGTGGGGATTGGTTTGGGGATCATGGTATCGTGTGGGTTGGTTTTTTTTTTTTTTTTTAATTTCATCCTAGTGCTTTTTAATACCTAATTTCGAGAAATAAATTTTTACTTCACTAGACTTTGAAAAGTACAGTTGTTTTACAATTAGTACAATTCTCTTCTATCACCCAAAAAGTATAGTGTGGGGTTTTACACAATGGCAAAGCACGGGTATGAAGCAAATATTGTTTTTTAAAGAAAATAAGGCTTCTGGTCAGATATAAGGGCCTTCGGGGATTTTCCCGAAAGGCAGACAGTTGTTTTATTTTTGTTATCCTCCAGGGTCGGTCTACGACCTCGTGGAGCTGCAAAGAGGATCGTCGAGCAAGTTTTTGTTTTAATATATACCTTTTATAAAGATAATTTAATTCGCGCTCACTTATTACTCATCGTCGAGGGCTTGGACTCTGAGCGACAGTTTTACCATGCTGCCTAGCTATTTATCTAAGTGCTTGCAAACATTAGTCAGATGTACATAGGGTAAGTAAACTAAAATCTTTTTGAAAATTACCTTCTTTTTTCCACATCAATTATAATGATTATATAATGAAATGCGACTGGTAAGCTTTGACAGCTTTATCTATTTTTACCAGAAATAACACGTACATTATGGGATCCGGTGTCCGGTCAAAAACCCCCAGAACATAAACCCCCTGTACATAAACCTCTTGGTTATAAACCCCCCGTGATAAAACAAAAACAACCCACAACACCCCCCCCCCACACACACACACAAACACAATGTTAATTTATACACGGAAAATCCCAAGATGATGAGAAAAATAAAAAAAAAATAAAAAAAGCAGACATTAGAAATAAGTAATGTATAAACATAATTTAAAAAAAAAGAGATTGTGAGCGATGCATCGAAATTAGTCTATTGTAGTGGGCTTATTAAAACTGTTAACAACCTTTGAAATTCAAACGCCGCTATCTATATATATATTTCCTGTTTTTATTAACTGAATTTATCTGCGTACAATAAACTTCTTGAAGCGATTGCTTTATCAGATTGAACCAACTCCATTCCAGAAATAATGATGAGATTTAAGAATAAATAAATTTGATGTCATATTTATACCATGCTACTGTGTGCCGTGACGAATCTATATATGTAAATCTCTTCTGGGAGCCGTTAGAAAACAAGCTGCAAGCGCGCCCCTTACAGTCCCCTCTCTTCCTCTCTATCACTACCACCCCCACCCCCCACATAGTCTGGTGAGCGATGGTTCACTCTAAATGTTTACATTCGTTGAGTCGGGTTTAGTGACGGCCGTTAGGGGCAAATAATTTTGTTTGAAACTATTTTAAACTACTTGGAAGAGGTAATTAAGAGGAGGCTGCCTTCTGGGGGTGGGGGGGGGTGTTATAGGGTAGGGGTTGGGGGAAAGGGAGGGGGGGGTAGTGTTTTAAAGCAAATATTTTCAGTGGCATCATTGGTACTGTCGAATTCACAAATTATAAATTATGAAAAGTAGAAAATAAAACAACTAAATAGCGGCGTATAATACGCCACGGGTCGGTTCGTATGAAATAATCTTTCCCGATGAATCTCACATATATAGTATTGTTGAAAATGTGTTGGTTTGATCCTCACGGCTCTCGCATATGAATTAGCTATATCTAAAGTGTTCTCGGGGCCCTATCTTTGATTAAATACAACCAGGGTCACTCCTTGACCTCAAATAGCAATCTGTTTTTTTGGTTCAAATCATCGTTATTATTTCATTCTATAAACCTCAGTCGTTTATGTTGCTAGGGTTGTTTGTCCAGGGGGTTTATTACTAACGGGTTTTTGATTTGGAGTCCAGGCATCCATCGACATTGGTCTGTAAGGCTCACAAAATATCAAGGGGTAGAGGGGTTAAAAGAGGATAATTTTATATATATATATATATATATATATATATATATATATATATATATATATATATATATATATATATATATTTATGTATTTATATATATATTCTAGCGTACCCGCCCCCCGCGCGTTGCCGCGGGGAT